CACACACACACACACACACACACACACACACACACACACACACACACGGGAGTGTCCTTGTGTTATGGCTCTTCACTTGTCAGCCACCTTGTGTACAAGTGATCTCAATGATGCCATTACTGTAATGTCTACTCCAGAAGTACCAGTCTGAGTGTGCTGCTGCCACATTTACAACATAAAGGGTCCTTAAACACAGACGACCCTTGAGAGTCAGGGTAAATGTAGAAAAGGTATCATAAAGTTGTAAGCAACGGGGCAATGGCACCAAGTGGGACAAAGCTGTAGTGTTTAGTTAGAGGGAGTAAAGTTGTGTGATTACACAGGGATAGTGTTTAGTAGGGATGCACAATATTGGATTTTTGACTGATATCTTATATGCCGATATGTTAAAACTTATTTGGTCGATAACCAATACCAATACCAATAAAGTCCGTGCTCAATAATCCAGGTATACAATCCAACATTTTTCAGTCAGGTCATCTGGACAGTTTCTTTTTTTTTTTTTGTGCTGAAACCTTTAAAAAAGGTAAATCTTGTCCTCTGGACATTCAAAAAACAAAACAAAACAAAAAATAAAAAAGTAGAAATGTTTTGTCTTTCATCCAAAAGACTTCCTCAGCTTGAGGTGTTGTATGAAGCTGTCTTATAAATGGCACCTTCTCAGAGTGGATACAGCACTGAATACAGCACCTCAGACTGAGGAAGTCTTTCGGATGAAAGACGAAACGTTTCTACATTTTTTTTTTTTTTGTTGTTATTTGAATGTCCAGATGACCAGATTTACCTTTTTTTAGATTTTTCTACCTGGATTATTGAGCATGCATCAGGATATTTGTGCTGATATGTTTCGCCTTCAATCCGGAAGGCTTCATCAGTCAAGGAAACATATAACAAAACTGATTCTTCCCCCAACAGCTTAATCCAAATTGGAACAAACCAGTTCTGCTTGTGATAAGATGGTCTTTTTGGTACGCCCCCTCCTCCATTGCTGGCCTTCTTCCTTGTTGACAGTCGTACCAAACTGGTTGAAAACAACAAAGTCCATGCTCAGTAATCCAGGTATACACTCCAATACCAATACCAATATTTTTTTCCCTAGACCTACTTACAGAAACTACAGAGTTTTCTCTGCTGTGGAATTAAAACACTACATTATTCTGCATAATCTTTGTCAGTTTGGCCTGCTACCAAATGCAGATGCCAAAAAGGGGTCTGAATATGATGTAACACTTCAACTTATGTCAAATTCATTCATGACATTTACTTTCTCTAACACAGTAGCACTCGAAACAGTGCAAATTTGTACATTTTCACAATCTGAACTCAACCTGTTCACAAGCAACAAGTGAAAAGTGCATAAGTAGTAGTAGTGCATTAATATATATATATACTTGACAATTTCTTAAGTTAAAAATTTACTTAAAACAGAAGCCTTTTAAATTGGTGAGTTACTTTGATGGAATGGCTGATGTCCGTTATTTAACTTTATTGCCAATATTAACCAATATCGATACCATGCCAATAATATCGTGCATCCCTAGTGTTTAGATATAATTTATCAGGCTTTACCTGTACACAGTGCTCATATCATTACAACTCATGCAGTTTGCTTTGGTTAGCCACCTTGTTTAAATGTTTTTTTTTCTTCTAATTTAGTTTAAATGAGGCTTTCTATCAAATCAGCTGTGCAACGTTTACTTGCAAGCAGTGAAACGTTTGGTTTAATCGTCATGCTTTCAGTTATATTTATTAGTGTTTTTGCTTGTAATTTAATTATGTTTTACTAACAGCTAATGTGAATGGATGCATTTTCATTTAATATTAATTTTGTACCGTTTTAACAGTATCTTATGGTGTGTTTTGTTTTATTGATTGATTTTTTTAATCAGTTATTTTATTGTTGTCACTGTTGCCTCCTATTTATTCTTACATTATCATGCTTAAGTCGTTTTGTAAACTTGTTGTAATTTGCCTATTGAAAATGCAATAAATAGCCAACAAGCATCAGATTATTTTAGTGGATAATACTGACATAAATATATTTCAAAATTGATTGTAACCTAATTGTTATTCATGCTTTCATTTGTATACGTCAGATGCCTGAAGGGGATTACTTCTGTTTTGTGATTCAGAACAGATCTGAGAGGTCATGACTTCAGAGGAACCATGAGCGTCTGCAGCTGTACACTATTGTTTAAGTTATCAGAGGGTTTTTTCTTTTCCTTTTTCAAATTAGCCACTATTTACACCACATTTGTGCAACGCAGTGTAACTGCAATCATTAACCATGTAAACTAAGAACAAATGATAAATGTATCTGTTTGGACCACTCACATTTTATATGACCCCAAAAAGGTCAAATCCATCTGAAGTCCCTGATCGAAGAGAAGTCATCTGTATAGTTAACACCAAATGGCATAAGAATATTTGACGCTTATGTTTTATACAAAGCATTTCAACTTCTACAAACTGCCCGTGTGTGAGCAGCAGATTGTTATTTAAGCTGACAATGAATCGACTGGTCTGAGAGTGAGGTGGATCTGTGCACGGGGCGCAGCTCGTTGGTTTTACGCTGTTGAATTGTGAAACTTTTAAGTCTCAACATTGTGACAAATAATGCAGATGGTGTTTTTCTAATTGAATATGTGTGTGCTTTTGCTATCAGGAGAAACTAATACATTTGGCAGAACAAAGATGTTGGTGGTGAAGCACTGATATCTATCATTTATGCTTTATATGGTAGATACTGCAGCACAGTGGCACAACTGGTAGAGCTGCTGCCTCTCAGCGAGCAGGTCCTTGGTTCAAACCCCGGTCCAGGGGCCTTTCTGGGTGGAGTTTGCATGTTCTCTCCGTGCAAGCGTGGGTTTTCTCCGGGTGCTCCGGTTTCTTCCCACAGACCAAAAACATGCATGTTAGGCTGATTGGTAACTCTAAATTGTCCCTAGGTGTGAGTGAGAGAGAGAATGGTTGTTTGTCTCGTTTGTGTCTATGTGTCTCTGTGATGGACTTGCGACCCGTCCAGGGTGTACCCCGTCCCTCGCACAGTGATTGCTGGACAGGGGCACCAGCGACCCCCGTGACCCAAAATGGAATAAGCGGGTAAAGATAATGGATGGATGGTAGATGCTCTCTTGCCACATGTTGGACTCTGCAGCGTGAAACTAGGACACTAGCTGCACCGACAGACAAGACTGCATGCAGCGCAGCATTCCCTCTCGTTTCTCCCTCCATGTTCAAAGACAGCAGTCACTGTGATTATAGAGACATTTTGTCCTTCTGAAATGTCACCTTCCAGCTTGTACATCCTAAAAAAAAATATAAGGATGTTTATTAATTAAATCAGACTCTGGGTTAACTCATAGCCAACAATTACCAGTTTATAATTGTGTGTGAGGGTGTGTATTAACACAAAGATCTATTATGGCTACATACTATGTCTCTATCAATAAACCAGTACATCCTAGTACTTTTTACTTAACATAATAAGGAACGACCGCACCTCTTCTAATATCAACTGCATCATTGTTTTGACAAATTTGCATTAGAGTTTCGACTCTTTAGGGGCAGCTGTGGCTGAGTGGTTAGAGCAGTCGTCCTCCAATGGGAGAGTTGAAGGTTCGATTCCACCAGCAGTCACATGTTAAAGTGTCCCTGGGCAAGACACTGAACCCCTCATTGCCTCCGATGTGTGTCCCATCGGTGTCTGAATGTGATAAAGCTCTGATTAGTCTTTGTGTAGATATAGTACAGTGCTGTATGAATGGGTAAATGAGGACACAGGTTGTGTTGTAAAGTTATTTGAGTATATTCATAAGGTAGAAAGGTGATATATAAGTACAGTCCATTTACAATTTATTCTTTTTTATTCATCTTTTACTTTTAGATGCAACAACCGTACCCAGTGTGCAGTGGTAGCAGGCCCTGATGTTTTCCCCGATCCCTGCCCGGGAACATACAAATACCTGGAAGTCCAGTACGAGTGTGTTCCTTACAGTAAGTACTTTAAAACGTATTCCATTAAAATGTCTCTAACATTATTCACAAGTATCAGAGTTCATTTACTCATGGTGGATTTGACTAAAATGAGTACAGAATACTGACAACTTGAAAATAAAGTTGTTTTTTTTAATATATATTATTATTTTGGGTATTTGCTGTAGTTTTGGAAGTAGCTACAGTTTTGCAATATTTTTTAGTAACAATATGCGAAACATATTTTGATACAAAGTCATCTGGACATTACATTCTGGGAAATCTGACAGAGGAAGAATGGAAAAAACAAACGGGAGCTGAATATATGATCATTGAACCAGCCTGTGAGGCTGTTTTCACTAAATGTTTGTTTTTTTTACCCCAAAAAACAAAATCTAGGTTACGGCTAGCAGCTTAATAAATGCAAAGGGGATCAGCGTGGAGACTTTGTGGATTAAAGATATCTTTTTGTCCTTGATCTTTATTTACACTGTATCAAAGCTAAGAGTGTTTGTCCACAAGCAAAATTTGATGTCTGGTTTTCTTTTTTTTTTAGAAGTTGTCTCGTTGTGCTGTTTAGTTGCTTTTCCATTCCAGCAGACATTACAATATATTTATTGGCTTTTATTCATAAAGTGTAATAGTCGCAAGTTCAGATGAATGTACACATTCAGAAAGAAACACTCCTAGATAAAGACAGATTTCCCAGATCAACCATGTTCATGGTCGTAGGGAGCTGAATACAATAAGACACAATAATTAAATAGCTGTCACACATCATGATCATAAAGTAACAGCACATTTTACTTTGTACTTGCTCCAAGTACTGCTGAGAAAGGAGTTGGAGCAATAAATGAAACTCAAGCAAGACAATGTTGAATAATAATAATAATAATGTGTTATGTATTGTCATCATTGTATGTTCCCATACAAAGGTGAAATTGGCTCTCTTAATTTAACCCATCCACCCCCAGGTGGAGCAGTGGGCAGCTATTGAAAGCGCCCAGGGAGCAAGTCGGGATAGGGTGTCCTGCTCAGGGACACCTTGAGATGTGCAATGACTGGGGATCGAACCTGGGACTTTCAGGTCTCGAGTCGGCTGCCCTGCCTCTACCCCATCTAAGTGGAACAACAACTCAAATCATAGAGTGTACATTTATGCATATAGATATTTATATACAGCTGTGCTCAACCGTTTACACACTGTGGCAGAATTTATGACTTTTTAGGCCCTTTTTTTACATCAATATACAGTGAATAACACAAAACTTTTCTTTCACTCCTGGTTAGTGGTTGGATGAAGCCTTTTATTAGCAAACGATTGTGTTTGCCTTTTTTTAACATCATAATGACAACAGAATAACCCCGATCAAACATTTAATTACTCTGGAAGTTTTGGCCTGTTAACATACACACAGGCTGACACACACAGGTGTTGATGGCTACTAAAGGTACCATCCTCACCTGAGTTCTGTTTGCTTGTAGTCGGTGAGTGTGTTTAAAAAGTCTGTGTGTTTCTAGACATGTTTCATCCAACGCTGCTCTGATGTTGTTGGATTCTGAGCCACAGGGAAAGCAAAAGAATCATCAAAGCTTCTGCGGGTGAAAAAGAGTTGAACTTTATAAAACAGGAAAAGGATATAAAAAGATATCCAAGCAATTAAGAATGCCAATCAGCAGTGTTCAGATCAATAGCGGCTCCTGAGCAAAGATATTAGTGAGGCGAAGATTAATTTCCTGAATGGCGCAAATTTGACTAATTACTTTACATTTTCTGTGATAAACGTTGGATAGATGTTGCTTAATACTTAATTTATAGTTTGCTTTTTGTTCTTTTTTTTTGTGCACAAACCTGCCACCTTGTTTCTTCCTACTGTGGGACCACATCCACCCCTACTTGGAGAAAACTTATATATTATATATATATATGTAACTTATATATATGTATATACATATACATCTATATATATATATATATATATATATATATAT